AACCATGGGCAGACTTACTGCTGAGCCAAACTTAGCACATTATGAGGCACAAAGACATGGGAAATGGGGAAGAGACCCTTTGGAGACTGATCTGAACACACTGTGCCTGTTACTGTCCTAGCAATTTCTTGTTTTGTTCATCTGATTCCACACAGCCTAGCTCAGCCACACTGGGAGCAAAGCCATGAAGACGAATGGAGGGGTCTCAGGCACATCGGAGAGGAGTAAGGGGGGGGGGGTGAGGCTGCCAATCCCAGAACCATTAGCACTTGAGGGACTGATCGGTAGTGGGGAGTTAATAGAGGGAGACACCGCATGGTTCCGCTCAGCTGTGACTAAGCAGACTGCCTGATGCCTAGGATGAGGAACAGCATGGGAGGGGCAGAGGTGGGGGAGAGGACCCCAGGGAGGCCCAAGGACAAAAGAGACCACTGGCTTTTGACCAGAGGGTGCCAGGGGACTAACTTGGTAACCAGAGACCTAGGGATTAGAGAGACGGGGTAAGGGGCGGGTCTGGCGCTTGTTCTAGCCCAGAGATGCTACCTGCTGAGGGCTGTGTTACAGGTGCTCTCTTCAGAGGGCTCTCCAGAAGAACTGAGAGCTGGGGTCCAGCGTTCCCAGCACCTCCCACCCCCCAACTTCCCATTATTCACATCTGGCATTTTTATGCCTCCTTAGTCATAACGGATGGGCTAGGTGCAGCACCCCAGGTCTATGCCTCTCACGGAGCAAGGGAAAGACCCTAAGGCCCCAGTGAGGTGGGGGTGCAGGTGACACAGGAGGCTGGAGAGGCCAGCATGGAGTGGAAACCAGATTCCGGTGGTCACACAAACCAGATCTCTCCTGGTAGTGTTTGCTCCAAGCCACAGCCCCTGCCCTCAGGAGCTCCCACTCCCCCCCCTCCCGAAGCACCACTCTCCCCGCCCCCAGCTGGCCTCCTCCTCATCTATCCCTGCCTAGGCCCTGCAGCATCTCGGACGGCCCTCATCAATCAGTCCCTCCAGCCCTTTCCATCACTTTCTCATGCTTCCTGAAGCACGCGGTCAGCCTATGGGCCTGTGGCCCCAGGGCCTCAGCCCTTCCAGGGATGGAGTTACCGGTCCGGCACCCGAGCAGCCATAATCTTTGCTCTGCCCCGATTGTGCCTGGCCATCTGCCCTTCCGGCCCAGCTTCTCTGCCATTGATGATCTGGAGACCAGTAGCCAGTCCCGTGCCTCCTGCTGATGGTTGGTAGCAGGCCCCTATCTCTTCCCAGGTCTGGGAATCCAAGAGGATTGCTAGCATCTCCCAATCATCTCCATTGTCTTAGGTGTTTGTCCCCCAGATCTGCCTCGGGGTGGAGCAGCGCCAAGGCTCAGACCTTGGCATGGTGGTTTTGTGGGGCTTTTCTCAGTGTCCTTCCAGAGCTATGAGAGCAGACGATAAAAGGCAAGAAGTTCAAAGGTGAAGCTCCTTGATCCGGGTCCCCGAGATGGTCGTGTCACTGTATTTTTTTGGTGTCGTGGCCCCTTATGCTTCTGAGAACTTAGGCCATTGTTATTTTACACTCACTCAGGTAGGTGGTCACTGGACTCAGTGTCTCTCCCCTGACTGTCACCTCCAGGAGAACAGGCACTCAGGACTGCCCTGCCTGCCACTGCCACCCAGTGCCTTGCCCAGTGAGACACATGCCATGCTGGTGTGTACCGGAGCTCACACACATTAGATGCTCAATAAGTCTCATTCAGTTATCGGTGAGTAAGTTATAGATTCATCCATCCATCCATTCACCTAACAATGCTGGAGTAGCAGGCCCTTTGATGGGTCCTGGGATAAAAGGATAAATTAGATGTAGACTCTACCTTAACGAATCAATCTGGAGAGGAAGATAGAGTTGCAAATAGAAACTTACAACGTGTCAGGGAAAACGCCAGTGTTGTGACCTCCACTCGAGTCCTGACTGAAGGACAGGTCTGGGGAGTGGCGGTATGTTCTCCTGGACGGTGGGGGTGGGTGGGAAGAGGGAAGGCCTTCCTAGACTGAGGGGTGCACAGGGAGCCCACGCAGGCAGGACACGTTTAGTCCCTTCACCACGTAGGAGACAGTTGGTTGCCATGCGCGCCCTCAGCCTCGGGATGAGGAGGACCACATTTGGGTCTAATCGGGGTCGTCTGAAGACTTCCCTCTCCTGTCATTCAGCCTGACTGGCTGCCAGCAATCTCTTCTGCCAGGGAGTTCCACGACTTGAGCCAATTTGAAACAATCTTATGAGATTTGCTGAGTGCAAACCACCTATCTAGTCTGCTCATGCTCTCTCTCTCATCTCGTGATTCCACCCAAGAATCATCATGTCGCGGGGCACAGCTGTGCGCAATTTCTGCATCTTCTGGATGCCGTTCTTCTTCACTTCCGTCCTCTTTTATTAAAGATGTGTGTCTGTCTGTCTGTCTGTCTGTCTGTGTGGTATATGGGTGTGTCTGTGTCTATGTGTGTTTGTGTGGTGTGTGTCTGTGTGTGTTTGTGTGGTGTGTGTCTGTGTATGTGTTTGTGTGGTGTGTGTCTGTGTTTGTGTGGTGTGTGTGTATGTTTGTGTAGTATGTGTATATGTTTGTGTGGCGTGTGTCACTGTGTGTCTGTGTGTGTCTATGTGCATTTGTGTTTGTGTGTATGTGTTTGTGTGGTGTGTGTGTATTTTTGTGTGGTGTGTGTCACTGTGTGTCTGTGTGTGTCTATGTGTATGTGTATTTGTGTGTATGTGTTTGTGTGGTGTGTGTGTATTTTTGTGTGGTGTGTGTCTCTGTGTGTTTGTGTGGTATGTGTCTGTATATGTGTTTCTGTGTGTCTGTGGGAGGGGTGCTCAAGCCTTTGGGCGCAGAGGCCAGAAGAGAATGTCAAATCCCTCAGAACTGGGGTTTCAGGCATTTTGCAAAGCATCTGGCTGGTTATATGGTTACTGACATCTGAGCTCTGGTCCTTAGAACTGAGCAGCAGGGACTTTCTTTTCCTTTTTTTTTTTATTTTTTTATTTCGAGACAGGACTTCTCTGTAGCTTTGGAGCTTGTCCTGGAACTAGCTCTTGTAGACCAGGCTGGCCTCAAACTCACAGAGATCTGCCTGCCTCTGCCTCCCGAGTGCTGGGATTAATCCTGGCTGCAGGGACTTTCAATGGCTGGGTCATCTCTCTGGGTCCCCCTCCTCTTTGGCTTAGCATCACCGGATGCATGCACCTTTCCTACTTGCTATTGTGAAGGTTGAAGGCGAAACAGGCAAGCACACAGGTGTGGACTAAAGGAGCTGTGGACTGAGGGAATCTCCAGAGAAATAGCCTTGCGTAGAAAGAAGTACAGAGGGGGAAAATAATGTCTCAGGAAACTGGACTTGCAGTGACTTAGTATCACTGGTATGTGGTATGATGTGAGCATTTAGAGACAAGCCAGTTACTCCATTATTCCTTGAAGTCTGGAGTATTTCTTTTGCCTTTTTCTTTTTATTAATGTAGTCATGGCTGTCCTGGAACTCGCTATCTAGGCCTGACTGATCTGGAATTCACAGAGATTCACCTGCCTCTGCCTCCCAAGTGCTGGGATTAAAGACATGTGCTACCATGCCCAGTTGGAGTCTGGAGTAATTTTGTAAGGGAGAACCTGGTTTGGGCCTAAAAATATTTTTGGATTGCCTTTTATGCCACCTACCAACACACGGAAGCTACTGCCCCGCCTACGGAGGACACCTGGTTCCATTTCCAGCACACGGAAGCTACTGCCCCGCCTAGGGAGGACACCTGGTTCCATTTCCAGCCGTCTTTGCATGAATTTTATTCTTGCTCGTGTCTTTACAGAAAACAGCAGAGAAATTATGCTCTGAACACCTAAAAGTTCTGACCGTTCAGTGTTCCAAACACCCCAGTATCCAGTTTCTTCCTTCTCATAGTATGTACATTATTTACACGCCAGGGCGAGAGTCTAACATCTCAGCCCGGAAGGAGACAAAAACTTGCAAGTGGGAGCATTCTGTGAGCGGAACGAGGAAAAAACCAACCGTCAAAACAGATTAAAAAGTCACAGCTCCCTGTCTCAGGCCTTTCTTGTGAAGCAGCCCCTGCAAAGGTGTGTGGCATGTCTAACTTCACGGGGCAAAGGGAGTCTTGTGGTTGGCCTGGGAATCCAGGGACAGAGGACTCCGTAAGGCTGTGTGCCCTGTTGCCAATATAAAGATAGGGGTGGGGTGGGGAGAGCGCCCCCCTCCTCTGCAGGCAGAAGCCCCTCAGTCCAGCATGGCTCCTCCTCTACGGACATACAGCTGGCATGAAGCTATGAGGGCCTGCAGCTTCATGTAGGCTTTTCACTGGCCACCTGCCTTGTTTGCCTATGAGCTTCGCTCTGTTTCTTCCTTGTCACACATCCGTGACACATATGTGTAGCTCAGGCCCGCTTTAGGTTTTTAGACCTTTGAGGAATGCCTAGGTCAAGGTAAAGCCAGGTCTGGGGCTTTCAAGCTGCACCGTGTTTTCCCCAAAGCAGGCACGTGTGAGCCGATAGGCTACGACAGAGGTTCTCAACCCATGGGTCGCAAACCCCCACAGGGGTCCATACAGATGTCCTGCATATCAGATATTTACAGCTCATAACAGTAGCAAAATTACAGTTATGAAGTAGCAACGAAACAATGTTATGGTTGGGGGGTCACCACCACCTGAGGAACTGTATTAAAGGGTTGTAGCATTAGGAAGGTTGAGACTACTGGTATCTCAGGGGCTCTAGCGGAAGGAAGCCTTAAACAGCAGGTCAAAGTCTTAGGCAGAAGAGCCAGGATGCTTCAGAAACACAATTGTGCCCTGGGCACAATTCCGCAGCAGTACAGTGAGCCGTGGCATTGGTGAGAAGTTTCCCCTCCCTCAGGGAGCAGGGCCTGTACACCGATACCTATGGTATTGCTACCTCTGCAAAGGAGGAACCTAGGGCAAGCTGGGTATGAGAAAGAGCCAGAGGGTGATCCACAGCGTGGCATGGGATGCGGCGGGGGAGGGGGGGGGGACCAGTCTGAGACTTGCTGTTTAGTCTTGGTTCTAGCCTTTGGTGGGTAGGGTGGAAGATGCAGAGGTTGCGTGGACCAGCGGAGCGGTATATTCACACAGCAGGAGCCAAGGTCCAGGCCTGCTAGAAGGAACCTATGGAGAGGGAGGGACCTGCTGAGTGCTGGGGTGCCCAGGACACCTGAGCCGGTGCAGGTCCAAGTCACAGCTGTGCCAGGCTGTGGGCTCACAGCGACAGGCTTTAGGGGTGGGTGGGTGGAGTCCACAAGCTGTAAAAGCAGACTAGACAGCAGAGAGTAAGGGGTAGGCTTGGAAAACCAAGCGTCACCAAGGGATGGAGTGGTAGGACCTTGACGCTGGGGTGGCAAGAAGGCTCCAGAGGCAGGCTGTTAGGATGAGGAAGAGGAAGTTTTAAAGTCAGGAGTAGGTCCGGGATGTCTCAGCATAGCGAAAAACTACGGCTAGAACTGGCCTGTGCCTAGAGCTGCTGGGGTAATCAAGGGTCTGTGGTGTAGGGAGGAGATAGAAGCCAGGCCTGGCCTCGCCTCGCCTCAGAGAGAATTCCCTGCACCACAGGCCTTGAGAGGAGTAGAGTCTCCGGGTTCCAGAGCCAGCTCTTCTTGACCTAAGCCATGTCCTCCAGCTGTGGTGGGCTGAGCTTCTCTGATGGCCTGTCTTCATCCATGGCTTCCTCCTCTGCTGGCTTCTCAGCGTTCCTGGCCAGGCTGTCCGGCCCTGACACAGTCCCCAGAACCTTGGTGCTGTGCTCCTGAGCTTTGGCTCTGAGGGCCGCAATGCTGTTCTCCCTCAGTTCCTCCTGGGAGATGGCTGCCTGGGCATCTGGAGCCCTGTCCTCCTGCTCCATCTTGTCGAGCTTGGGCAGGGTCTGCCGTTCCACCTCAGGCTTCCTTCCCGACTCAGCTGCTGCCTCCAGCGACTTTTTGTGCATCCCTAAAAAGAATTGTTGGTATTCGGGTTTAGAAAAGCGCCTGGGAAAGCCATCTTGAACTGAAAACAGCAAAGATAGAGAGAGGCCAGAATTAAGGAGGAGCAGAAAGTCTTTCTTCACACACCACAGTCAAGTCCCACAGCTGGACCAGGGTCAGGGGGTGGGAGGGTGGCTGGCGGGAAACCAGGTCTTCAGCGAAGTTCTCTACACCAAACCATGGGCTTGAGCACCAGACCCCCAACCTGTCCTGTTCCTTCAGGGCATCTCCCCTAGCCTTTTGTCACAGGATCCCAGGTCTTAAGACCCCAAGATAAGCTGATGTCTGGATGGCAGTTGATAGAAGGAAGATGGGGAGGTTTGGGGCAAAGAAATTCTTGGACAAAACTAGAGAGGCGGCCAAAGGGACACAGGAGCTCGCTTAACCCACACGGGGAGATAGTTCATCCACTTTAAGCTCACTTTTAGTCACAGAGGCAGGAGGACAAAGCCTAGGGCGAGGGTCACATCCTCCTCACAGGACAAAGGAAGCCAATGACTCCAGAATGGGAGTCCTGACACCCAGGCGGTAGGTACAAAGGATGGCCCCAGAAGATGGGGTGGCCTACTTGGAAGACCTCTCTCCCGTCGGGTCTCTGAGACCCAGGCCTCCCTACACAGTGTTCAGTTCCCTCTCCCTGGCGCCCGCTTGCTCTCCTCGCCACAGGGGCAGGGCCCCAGGGAGGGTGCGGGCTCTTACCCAGTAGCCACGGGGCACAGGAGTCCATGATGCCGTCCTTGGCAGACTTGAGGATGGACTCAGGCAGGGGGATGGAGTGCCGGACCATGGCCCCGTAGAGGCCATACTCAGCCATGACGCTGCTCCTGCCCCAGCACTTTTCTCTCTTCCTCCACTTGGCTCTGCGGTTCTGGAACCAAACCTGGCAGTGCAGAGAAACGGGCAGAGCTGGGCTCTGAGAAACCCTAGGCCTGAGGCCTTCACCGGTTCTTGACCCAGCTCTCCTATTCCACGGAGTCGCGGAGTCTCAGGGAGGATGGCAGGCATCAAGATGAGACAACCGTGGGCAACATGGATCCATTTCTTGTTTTAAATCAAAGCCTGTCTAGGAAGACTGACTAAGGGTGTTTCCAAACGAGGCTCTGCAGGTGGGCAGCAGCCGGTATGGCTCACAGTGTGCAGGTAGAATGCCCACACACGTGCAAGGGACCTTGCAGATGCTCACACTTCAGTGTAGAGGTGTGTCCTGCCTCCTGGTGTTGCAACAGGGTGTTATTATCTATGAAGTTCTGGCTTGACTACCACACAATCAAATTTAAATAAAAATATAAAAGCCTGCTAGACAGTGGTGATGATGCACACCTTTAATCCCAGCACTCCGGAGGCAGAGGCAGGCAGATCTGTAAGAGTTCGAGGCCAGACTGGTCTACAGAATGAGTTCCAGGACAGCCAAGGCTACATACACAGAGAAACCCTGTCTCAACACCCCATGTCCCCCCAAAAGCCTAAAGCCTATCATGTTTTAATTCACTTTACAATTTTGTATTGGGCCACTTTCATAGCTGTCCAACCCACAGGCCATGCCTGTAACAGACCCTCTGGTTTGCAAAATGACAAATTCCAGGAACTGGAGACATGGCTCAGTGGTTAGGAACACTAGCTGTTCTTCCAGAGGACCCAGGTTTGATTCCCAGCACCCACATGAGTTCACAACATCCTGTAACTCCAGTTCCAGGGGTCTGACACACTCTTCTGAGCTGTGAAGGTACCAGGCACACACAAGAAGTGCTTGGAGATACATGGAGACAAAACACACATATGCATTAAATGAAATAAGAATTTTTTGTTTTGTTTTGCTTTTTGTTTTTGTTTGAGACGGGGTTTTTCTGTATAACAGTTCTGGCAGATTTTTTTAAAAAATATTTATTTATTATATATTCTATCTGGCATGTGTGCCTGCAGGCCAGAAGAGGGCACCAGACCTCATTACAGATGGTTGTGAGCCACCATGTGGTTGCTGGGAATTGAACTCAGGACCTTTGGAAGAGCAGGCAATGCTCTTAACCACTGAGCCATCTCTCCAGCCCCCCTCTGGCAGCTTTTTTTTTTTTTTTTAGAACAAATTCCCCGGCCCTGTTACCTGCCACAGTCAGGGAAGAGTGCAAGAGTGTGTCTGTGGAGCCCAGAAGTGTGGGTATACTTGTATACTTGGAGGCATGGCCCTGCTGGTGTCTGGGGGTCTGGCAGCAGGTGGTAGGCTTCTTGGGTACTGATCTGCCACGTTTTCCTGACTTCTCCCATCTGTGCCACCATCGCCTGCCACATACTTTGCTGCCCCCATTTCAGACCTAACTTCGAATGGAATTTAGGAAAGGTAGGTGACATTCCTGGGTCAGGAAAGGAACGTGACGTGACGTTTCTCATGCCTTAGGGCCGAGAAGATAGGGATCTAGCAGAGGACTTGGTAGGTAACATCCCAGAGACTGAATATCTGACCCAGAGTTGATTGGTATGGGCTGAATAGGTATAACACTGGGGTCCCTTGGGGGTGTCTACAACTGCAGCTTCATCATCACCATCTGCAGGGCTGGGGATGGAACCCAGGGCTTGCCCATGCTAGGCAAGCATTCTATCACTGAGCTACATCCCCCATTCCACTGCAGCTTCCTTCCAGGGGGAGATCTAGGAATCCAGCCCTATTCAGAGGATGAGGATGTTTCTCATCTCCCCCAAGTAACCTTCCTGAGACCAGCTGCCGACAGAGCCCAGAGTTTCCCCAGCCTTGTCTTTGATACTCTTTGGGAAACCGGTGGGCCTGGAAGCCCCAGGGCGCTTCTGGTCCCATCTTGATCGCAGGGTAGGAAACTAGGAACAGAAAACCAGTTTCCTGGGGGCTTTCCATCTACTCGCCTCTGGCGCCCCCGCCCTTCCCTGTGGGCCCCTCCCCCGCCCTGGGCGGCCAAGGTATCAGCTTTTGATGAAAAATTGCTCCTGCTCTATTCAGGAGGCGGCAAAAGAAGAGTCACCCCCAGGGGCAGCCCTGGGCTGATTGAAAAATAAGTTAATTTCAGTTTGAATCGATGGGCCTCAGGCACTGAAATATCACGGGAAATTAAAGCGGCTTCTCTCCCGGGAGCTACGGCATTGACCCGCACTAATTAATGCTGGGGAGGCAGTGATCGCCTCACCGTGAGCTGCTCCCCTTCCCCGGGGGACCCCAAACACTTCTCATTTAACTAATTAGACGGGGAAAATTGGGTGTTAATTTGTTTAGGATTTTTCCCCCTCTTCCTCCCCGGCAGCTCCCTCCCCGGCCCCCGCCCGGTGCGGGGGCGCGGAAATGAATGCGGGGCTCGCCGGCAGATGGCTGCCCCGGTCACTCTGCAATCTTCTCCGACTTGATTGCTTGATTAGGTCGTTAGCACATTAAAAAAAAAAATTGCTTGCCGTCTGGCGCTGGCGTGATGAGTGGGACGCGCGGCAGCGCCTGGGTAATTTATCTTTTTATACGGCAAAGAATTTGATTTCAATCTGCAGATATATGGGGCGCCTTTGACACCTGTTTAACTTCCCACCGCTGACAGCTTAACCCTTTGCTGCCTGGGCAGCTGGCAATCAAGGCTCAGAGGCCGGGCTTAGGTGGCCGCACTCACTGGCGCTTCCCGTCATCGCCGCCAGGTGGCGCGGTGAGCGCTGATTATCACTTAGCAGCACAGTCTGGAGTCGGGCCGGCCACACCCAGCAGGGGGCGCTCCCGACGCTGCCTATCCAGTTAGGTACAGGGATTCTCTTGTCCCTGCCTGCGAAAGACCTCAGCTTTCACGTTTGGGGACCTCTTCCTGTGCAATAACCAGGAGCTTCTAAAAACAGGAAAGGGCCGGGTGGTGGTGGCGCACGCCTTTAATCCCAGCACTTGGGAGGCAGAGGCAGGCGGATCTTTGTGAGTTCGAGACCAGCCTGGTCTACAAGAGCTAGTTCCAGGACAGGCTCCAAAACCACAGAGAAACCCTGTCTTGAAAAACCAACCAACCAACCAAACAAACAAACAAATAAATAAATAAATAAATAAAAACAGGAAAGGGCCAGATGCAGTGGTACATGCCTTTAATTCGAGCCCTGGGAAGAAAGAGGGAGGTGGATCTCAGCCATTCTGGTCTACAGAATGAGTTCTAGGCCAGCCATGGCTACATAGTGAGACTGTCTCAAAAATAAATAAAATTTTTTAAAAAAATCAAAATGAGAACATCACTGCCTCAGAAGCTGTGATTCTTCTGTCCTCCCGATGACCAAAAGCTTTAGAAAGCCATCGCTGGACCCCTCCTGGGTGGTGGCACTTGCCGGAGAGACACACTTTTGCCACATGCCTTTAGAATCTGCCACTGCCTTTAGATCTGGGGAGCAAAGACAGAAAACCTCCTCCTGGTACCCCAACGCTTGGGAAACTCAGGGAGAAAGAGTTCATATTCAGTGATAGCTCAGCGTTTAAGAGCACTGGTTGCTCATCCAGAGGCCCTGGGTTCAATTCCCAGCTACCACACGGTGGTCCATAACCACCTTCAGTGAGATCTGCTGCCCTCTTCTGGCCTGCAGGTAAAGCACTGTGTACAGAATAAATAAATCTTAACAACAAGCGATGACTGCAAGTTGACCTTCTTCTGTGGGTCAGAGTCCCGTGCCATGAAGACGGCCTGCGTGTCCTGCCCTGGCCTCACTCTGTGTTTAGGCCCAAGGCTGCCTGCCTGTTCTCCAGGGTGTCTGGCTGCCCTATCTGAGTACGAAGCTTGTCTGGGGCTCCTCTCATCTCCCATTTGTTTGCCCTTGGTCCCTGTCTACAAAATATCCACTTGTTCCAAACTCCCTTCTCGCAACAGAAGCAAACTCTAAAAGGACCAATCTGTATACAAGTATATATAAATGACTCCGTGTCCACCATCCCTCAGGTGAGACAGTGTAGAATAGATAAGGATAGGTTCCACCCATCAAAACTAGGGACGGAAACAAGCCATATGCCTGCAGGCCAGGAGACAGCCGGTTCCGGGAGCACAGTGTTTTGGAAGTCATAGAGGGCATAATTCTTTAAACAGAATCCCTACAGCCAAAGGCTATCTGGGATTTTAGAAACTGTACGTAGCCTGGACTGGAGAGATGGCTAGTAGTTAATCTACAAGCTGAGCTGCTCCTTCCGAGGACCCGAGTTCAGTTCTCAGCATCCACATTAGACATTACAGCTCACAACCTCCTGTAACTCAGGCTGCAGAGGTATCCAGTGCTCTTTTATGGTCTACCTAGGCACCGGCACCCACAGAAACAAAAACGAATCTTTGAAGAAAGTATATGTAGCCAGTCAAGGAAGCATAGATCTGTGACCCCAGCACTTGGGAGGTAGAGGCAGATGGAGGAGGAGTTCAAGTCCAGCCTGGGTCAAATAAGACCTTGTCTCAAAAATCAAGAAGGAAGGAAGGAAATATATACCACACATTGATGTCACTCCTCCCTGAGCACCGCATAACCATATCCACCGGTTTCTGCAACCAAACACACCCACACCCACAGAGAGATACCCATACACTGCACGAGGTCTGCTTTCACCACCAAGTGAGCTTTGTTGCTAAAATCACTACAGACCTCCCAGCGGCAGCACAGTTTGGACTGCAGGATTCTGGAGAAGGCATTGTGGACTGTGCAGATGACAAAGAACTCCTGGCTGCTCTCCATGGAAGGTGTGACCCTTGGATGGTCCAGGGAGTGCTGGGGGAGGGGCAGGGCTATCGGGTGGGAAGAACATTTTAGGTACAGGCTTACAGATACGGTCTGGGCTCATAAGCAGAACCCCTTTCCTGGTTCTCCTCTGGCAAATGAGTCACTACTGTGGAGATCAACTTTTGCCCATGACTCTCTCCCAGGGGAACACGCTGCCAGCTG